GTTGCCTCAATCCGACTTTAAAGATGTAGGACCTCCCCTCGCAGTGACCAGTGCTTCGGCAAACGCGAGCCTGGTGGTTTTCATGATGGATGGAGCGCTAAGTTTCATCCCTTTAACGTTTTCCAAGATGAGCCTGTTGGATGCGGGCGCAGCGAGCTCGTTGGATTGCGCCATCAGGTTCTTTGCAGTGCCGGACATGAACCTGTTCCACTTGAGGGAGATGCAGACGATCACAGGAAATGAATGTAGAACATACTCGGAGGCCTTCCTGTGGGATAGGCAACAGAACCTGGTGGCAAGCATGACACAAGCTTGTGTATTGAGGCCACACATGCATAGATTGTGATTCCTCCCACTGTCTCCAAGACCAACTTGTACCGCTGCAATCATAGATTTCCGCTCTCAAGTCAACTCGTACATCAATCAGACACTATATGGCCATGTGCTTGTGGCATCAAGATAATCTCGAGAGATGTGACATGGCAAGGGCAATATAAAATCAAGGACCAGCTTGACAATGTGAACATTTTTTGGCACAGCACGTCAAGATAAAAAAGGGACACATGTCCGTGCGACGTCACTTGCTCTGCTTTCTCCTGAGATTGGACCCTGATGTAGTCGTACCATTATCTCGCTTACCATACTATCGGTTTGTCGTGTCCTTTTCCTTCTGACCACCACAATCACCATTTCTTCTAAACTCGACACAAGCTTTTTTGTCGACGTCGTCATACGAGGCAACAACCATGTCGTCCTCCATAGATCTATACGATCTAACCATCGCATCTCATCTGATCATCGAGCAGTTCCTTCTATCGCAAGGCTACACCGCTACCGCCTCCCAACTCCGCGTCGATGCATCAACGTCCAACCTCAACCTTCCACCACTTGCTCCAATCTTCGACTCATCCCTCGACTTGCGCTTCTTGGTAGAATCATACCGCTCTACCGTTTCCGCCGAGGAGCGCAAGCATAAAGCAGCAGCACTGGCCGCCACCCACTCTTCCCGCGCTATCGCCGACCCGCTCACCTTAACACTGCCGGGCTCTTCTACCCTCCCTTTCCGCTTGCAAAAAACCCACTCCACTCTTCACGCATCAAATATCCTCTCCATCACAAAGCTCAAGCTTCCCAAACGTTCTTTCGACACGTCCACGGCGCGCTATGTAAACTCGATCTCGGATTGTCTCGTCTCCACTGCAGCGGACAAGAGAATCGTCTTTTCCGACGCCGAATCAGGCCAAGTAGATGAGATACTAGAAAGCAGAGACGGTCATCAAGCAGCTGTGCTTAGTGTTGCACAAGATCCACAAGATCCAAGATGCTTGGTGAGCTCAGGCATGGACGCAAACGTGGTAGTGTGGGATTTGGTAAAGAGAAGAGTGGTACAGGTGCTTAAGGAGCATGCAAAATTCGTGGTCAAGGTGGCAATGAGTGAGACGGGGGAGTATATGGCCAGTATTGGCTACGACAAGAAGATTGTGGTTTATCGCAGACTGCACAACACCTCTTTTACAGCGACAGCAACAGGCAATGCGATCGGAGAGGAGGATGATGAGGGGGAGGAGGAGGAGGAGGAGGAGGAGGAGGAGGAGGAGGCAGAAGAGAAAGAAGCCCAAGAGTTGAAAGCACCGAGGTATGAGAAGGTATTTGAGATGGATACACAAACGAATCCCGAAGCGATCCTATTTATCCGAGCTGGACTTTCTCCTGAAGTACTCAAAGATGCATCAACATTGAGCGGGTGCAGCACCCATGCAGGAGAGGTAGTAATCCTCGAAGCAAAACAGAAGCGCACCTGGTTGTGCTTCACTGTCCGCAACGACAGCTTCGTTCACTACATCGCCCTGCCTACCTCTGCCGATGCCTCTATCGAAAATGTCACCAACCACCTTGCCACTACATCGCTGCAAGACGGCGGCAAGCACTCGCGTCCATCCGTCAATGCCGTCCCTGATTGGTCCTTGCACAGTTTCAACACCAATCCAAATCCTGAAGACTTGCATGTATCGTATTCCCTCCTCTCGCTCTCCATCCACCCTTCATCTCTCTACATCTGCGTCCAGACTGGAGATCACACCTCTCCCGCCCTCGCTTCGTCGTCTTCATCCACTGCTCCCGGCTCGCTCTCTCGACTCCTGCTTCTCACACCTTTATCCAACAGCCGCGCTGCCACCATCTGGACTGGCGTACCTACCAGCTCGTATGCGGTACCAAGACACTCTTGGCTACCATCGGGTCGAGGATGCTGGTTGAACGCTGAGGATGGTGTGCTGAGACTGGTGGATTTGAAGGGCAAGACAAGGGCAAGTGTATTGGCGCATGGAGTGCAAGAAGGTGGACAAGAGGTTTTGGCGGCGAGTTGGGGCAGAGGAGGAAATACGATTGTTAAAGACGTTGTGGCTGTGAGCGAGAATGAAGTGGCTAGTTGTGGTTTCGATAGGACGATAAGGATTGTTGGCATTGATTCGAGCATTTTGGAATGATCTTTCGTGGATCATTTCGAGTTCCTTTTTTTTCAAAATGTTTTGCAATGTATAGATCACTCACAAATATGTTGACAAAACAAAAAAAAAAAAAAAAAAAAACCCAAGCCAAAACATCGATGAGCATGGATCGAGATCTAATTGACTTGTGCATTTTTGGACTGAGATGGCCAAGGTGGGTACAGACAAAAAGCAAAGAGAGATGGACGCTTTTTAGAGTTTGTTGGCAGGCTCATTAGGCATGCCTACGGCGGTGCTGAGTTTCTCGTAGATCTGATGACCGTGTGATATGGGGGTAAAATTGACGTGGGTTGCGAGCGCTCTGGCATCCACCATTTCTGGTACGACGTCTCTGAGTGTTGGAGCACCGAGTAGTCTCATGTTCATCTCCATCTCTGCTTTGAGCAACTGGATTGCATGAACCACACCGTCACTTCCGTATGCCGAATAGGCGTACAGGAAAGGTCTTCCGATTCCAACCGCAGTTGCACCCATCGCCACAGCCTTGAGAATATCAGATGCTCTCCTGATGCCTCCATCAACAAAGATCTGGAACATGGGATTGGGAAACAAATTTCTTGCCTTCAACGCCTCCACCACTTCTCCAAGTACTTCGATACCCGATCTTGCAAAGTCAAGCTGCCTACCACCGTGATTGGACAAGACAACACCTGCGAGACCCAATTCGGCTGCCTTGACCGCATCCTCCCAGGTTTGCACACCCTTCAAAACGATAGGCATCTTGGTGACACTCTTGAGCCAAGTCAAATCGTCCCAACTCAAAGAAGGGTCGATGAAGCTCGAAATGGCTCTAGCCGCACCTTGAGATCGATCCACATTGTCCTTGTTCTGATTCTGCATATCCGATCCAACATCGTCGAATTTCATCCTCATGTCCTTCTCCCTTCGTCCCAACTGAGGTGCGTCAACGGTGACAAATAGACCTTTGATACCCGCGTGTTCAGCTTTCTGAATGATCTTTTCGGTGATCTTACGGTTCGAGTTGACGTAGAGCTGCATGAATTGAACTTGATCATCTTTGATCTTGGCACCGACAATTTCTTCAAACGAGCAAGAGGCGAGAGTGGGGATCATTTGGATAATACCTTCTTTACCAGCAGCGACCGTGAGATTCTTCTCTCCATCCGGGTGACCAAGCTTTCCGAGAGCTGTGGCGGTGATATATACGGGAAGGGTTGACTTGTTTCCAAGCAAAGAGGTAGAGTAATCTACCTTGGAAACGTCGCGTAGAATACGAGGACGGAACCAGATTCGACCGAAAGCAGAGGTGTTTTCTCGCATAGTCACTTCATCGTCTGCTCCCGAAGAATAGTATGCCCAGGCGGTTGGCTTGAGCACCTTCTTGGCGATCACCTCGAAATCGTACAAGTTGAGACATTGTGTGAGAGGTGGAAGAGCATCAGGGTGTTGCTTGGCAACAGGCTTGGCAACGACTTTATCCTCCTTCTTTATGGTACTAGGATCGACAGGGCCCAGACACTTTTCTTTGGGAAGATTCTCTTCGAGTGTTCCAGGAGGATGAATTGGATCGTACTCTTCAGTGGCGTCCTTACCGGCGTACTTGAGAATGATACCGGCACCTCCTGGATGTTCAGGAAGGAATTCGGTAACGTCATAAGCTTTGCCGTGGACAATGACCCAGCACGAGTCCTTGTTGTTGTGCTTCTGAACCTCGTCAAACTTCAACATTGTGGCGACAAATCACTATGGCAGGATGATGTATATGAGGAAGGATTGATTTCGTAGAAGGAATGGTGCAAGGCGATGGTGGAATGGTTGTGATGTATATATTATTCGGCAAGTGGCAACAGGGAGGCGGGGGAAAGTGTGGGGATGTGTACTGTAAATTGCTACTGCTGTAAGTTACTCTGTCGTCGAGTTCTCTTTTACGGAGTGGGGTAGCAAGAGCCAATCCAAATTCAACGTTTTGGCATCACCTAAAAGCCTCTATGTAGCGTCGATGCGGACAACCACGGACAATTGATTCTTATGACAGGAAATGCAAAAGCTGGCACGACGACCAATGGAAAAAAAAAAAAAGAGAGTAAGAGAATGTGTTTGTTAGTATGTTTCGGCGCGGGGAATCGGCTATCCAAACACCCTCGTTTGCGACATATACGCAGAGTACAGAAAACGAGCTTCAGCCATGTCATCACGGCCCATGACGGAGATGGATTCTGCGGGCGTCGTCTTTTTTTTTTTGTGCCATTTTTCCAGAGCCAGTCCTTCTTGTGTTAGCTAAGGGTCTTGTTCCTCATTTCGTGCGAATGTAGATGAAGCTCGATTCTGGTCATCGCAGTGTCAAGCAATTTTAACCATTCAGAGCCTGTATTTTAATCAATGTGCGCAACAATGTATGGCTGTTGGACAGTGTGTTCACCTTCCCTCGTTTGGCGCTATAAAATAGCAGACAAAACAAATCGAAACAAAAAAGCTTCGAAGTCCTCACAACCTGTGATTATGATGATTAAGCGTCCGAGGTCTGACGTAAGCGCCTCGTTAGCGTAGTTGGATTATCGCATCTGTCTAATACACAGCGCCTCAGAATATTCTGAGTAATTGAATTCACAACAGAAGGTCACTGGTTCGAGCCCAGTACGGGGCATTTTTCTTTTTTCACTCGACATCGACACTGCTTTGGATGGCATTAAGACCACTAAAGAAGTTCCGCCTTGAGGCGCAAGGTAAGCGGTGTAGCAACAGAGTGCAAACAAGCTTTTTTTCTACTCAACCTGTTCTTTCCGAACAGCGGCAAGGTAGCGTGGATGGGGTTTATGATATAGCGAGCCATGCGTGGATTGTCAGCCACACTCATACGAACGGGACCTAGGCTGGACTTGAAGGTCGATTCTAGTGCTTTACTGTACAAATGGGCTGATCATGTGAGCGCGAGGAATGGCTGATTGTATTTGATGAATGAGGCTTTGGCAGCAACAAGGCGTGAGCGTTGATGATACTAAATTTACTCTATCTCATGACGCCAGCTAGATTAAGGCAAAGAAATGCATCATTAAATGGACCCTGCTTTTTGATTTGCTTCTGGCAGCGTCAGACGATGCGGGTACCTTGGAGTCTTTATCGTAGCATACCTCACCGCCGCGCGTCAGAGAGGAGCTTTGTCCGGTCTGAGAGTGTGATAAGGAAACTTTTGCCAATTTCTCTCTCTCTCTCTCTCTCTCTCTCTCTCTCTCTCTCTCATTGTCTATTAATTTTACACCGCGCTTTCATATCGCCTTGCTTGATTCACACTATAAGCTTGTCCTCACGATAGCCGCCGATTCAGTTTACAAGAAAGAGAGATCTGTGCTCAAATCGATCAGGATGACCCACCAATATGTACACAGCTTGAATCCCTTCGTCTTTGCACCTACCACTCTCTGTAATTGAGCTCACATTGAGAGCTGCGGCGTCAGAGGAGGGAACAAGACTCAAGACCCACAAAGCCATGCTCTGCAGCTCTCGTTTCAGCCATCGTGACCGTATCAAGTGTCTTATTTGAGCACGATTGCGAGAGCAGGTGGGAGTAAAATCAAACGAAACGAGTGCGTATGCAGGTAGGGTAAGCTCGCCATCTGTTCTGGAAATTGTGATGTGACCATCCAAATATTCAGGTTAGCGCGCAGAGTGAAGCGAGTCGACGCACATACTCTGGACTGAGTCAGACCCTGGCCTTTCCGATTTTATTTTATTTTTTTTTTATTTTTTTTTGATTTTTTGATTTTTGTTTTCTTTTGGGTGGGAAGGCAAAGCCATGAGCATCAGAGCAGTGTTAATGCAGCTGCATCTCAGGTGCATTGACACATTGACACTGCACAGGCTCATAGTAGCGCCTCCACCACAATCAGTCACGCCACTGTACAGGACAGTACAGTAGAGTACAATAGAGTACAGTTAATTACACTAAGTTACTATCAGAGATAAGTGTTTAGAGTACACTTCTCTCTCTCTTTCTCTCTCTGACCAACTCGAGAGATCTTTGGAGAGCTACCACCATCTATATCCACTTTCTCCTTAACGAAATCCAACGAGCATCTCGGAGCAAGGTCTCGCCTCTTCATATCCTCACATTCATCTCGCAACATCATTTACTGCTCGAATCATCGCATTCTCATCTCTTCATATTGCACAGCGGCCGATTCTACACCTCTCACTGAATTGCACTGCACACATCGTATCGTTTTGACACCACAATTTATTCAGTACAGCGCCTCCTGTTGGCTACTTCTGCGACAGCTTCCCAAGCCAACCCTCAGCCATTTCGGCGCTCAAATTTAGCTCAGGTGCTTTACATTCCAATTCGAAATCGATTCTTCCAACAGGTTAGCAACAAATCAACAGTGCAGCAACTCCCCTTCGTTGACTCAACTCGCTCCGGATTCCATCTGAGCAGCGATACTTGAATCATGGCCTTTGTCCACCACCAGCCGCGCCAGCAGCGTCGCGAGCACCAATATCACGATTCTCCCTCCAACACCTACTCTACCCGTCAACATGAGCGCGAAGTACCTCAAGATTGGTCCATTGTCTTCCCTGGTCGCACGCGCCAAGCATCACCCAATTCACCCACCATCCAAATCCCTTCTCACTCTTGTCATACATCTCATCTCACACCATCCACACCCTGCACAGATGACACTGACGACACAGATCCTTTGGCGCTCACCCTGCCCCCCTTGCACGATGGTACCGGTCGATTCTTTCCTGCATGCCCCCTTAGCCCCGCCTCAACAGACGCTGCCCTCCAATACAGCAACGAAGAGGATCACGATCATATCTCAGACGCACACCGCTCAGAGTCTGTCTTTCCCCCCGAGTCAGTCTCCAGCGGCACAGACTCGCAGCTCGACGCTGATGAAGAACTTGGGTTCGGTTCTGGATCTGACTTTGATTTTGAAAGTGATGCTGTAGCTTCGTCCCATCCCAGTCACAGCTCTGTTCGTCGTGGCGCTGCTCGCACTGCTTCTAAGAGGAGACCGTCGAAGCTCAGCCATCACGTCAGCAATGGGTCTGATGACGAAGACGACCGCGCCCATTCTCAGTCACACAGCCATCTTCTGGGCAGCAAGACGTGGTCTCTCCTCGCTAGGAGTAATGCACTCGAACGAGTGCTAGAGAGTCCCGGCGCGTCTACCCAGCTCCACTCGAGTGCTCACTCGAGGCGAAAGCAAGACCGCTCTAGTGCACACACCGCCAACCATCTTCCCGTCGTGTTCACCTCTGGCTCTGAACAAGAAGACAATGACGCGCAATCTGCAATCAAGCTCGGGCAGCTTTCGACGCCACATAATGTCGATTTGGCAAACAGCAATCTGGCAGCCAGCGCCGGTCTCTCACACCTCGACCAATCTGACCACCTTGTGCGCCGACCCAAAAGGAGACATCGCCGCTCCATAGCTGGTCGATCAAGCAAGCGCAGTAACACGTCTCAGTCGCTCCTCAGCATTGACTATGAGTTACGTGTACTCAACGCTAGTCGACATCCTATGGACGACGCAGAAACTCGGCGATCTTCGACTCGGGCAACCAGGATGATTCAAGGGCACCCAAGTAAGACAACACGAGTGATCGGCTCTATCCTGCGCAAGGTCTTTGACCTGGAATCCGAGGTGCTCGACGCATTTCTTGACGAGGAAGCGCGATCTGACACACACCAGCAGTCGACGCGAAGGCCAGGCTTTGCATTCGAATCATCAGACGCACCGCTTGCATCTGCACCCTTGTGCGACGCTACTTCAATGATGTTGGACGGACGCAGCGAGCAGGAACGCTATCAGGGCGCTGCTTGTTCCGATACCGAGGTCGAAGAAGCAGCACTTGCATCCGTTACGTGTATCGATCCAAGCACGTCTCCACTCTTCAGCAACGCCAAAACAGTGCATGGAGAAGAGTCAAGTTCGGACTCTTCGTCGTTCCGTCTCACCGAAGCAGCTCTGCTCTCTCGCAATTCCCCCTCTGCACGTGGTACGCTCATGGAGCCAACCACTATGGAAGCGCTCAGCGCCTTTATGAACACGATGGTCATGCCTGTACCCATTCCGTTCCGCCTGTTGGGTGCGCTTCTTGGATGGTCATCTATCTGGTCTTCGGGTTCCTCCACTTCGGCTAAAATTCAAAGACGCGAACAACAAGGAGACGACGAGGAAGGTGAAGCCAGTGAAGCGGCGAGAGAAGAAGAGAGAAAGTATAGGTACGAAAGGCTATTAAGCGCTCAGCAAGCCAAGGCTTGGAGTAGGAGGTACAGAGGAATCCTGTTTGCCAACGTCGATGATGAGGAACCGAGTCCAGATGTACCGGAATTGTGGAGGGGTGAAGAACATCCTGCTATTGCTGATCATCATGATTAGCACCGTTCAAAGTTGTTTCAAATCGTTTTGGTGTTTTCATGTACGCATGTATGCATAGTACCGCTCAAGCGAACTTGTTGTTGATCATGTTGAGGTCTTTGTGATGTAAATGTGTGATACGAGACTGTCAAGACGAAGAATGATGTAGTGTAATTATAGATTACTGTACCGGTGATGATTGGAGGCGGTATTGCATTTGTGCGGGGGCAATCATGTGAAATTGGGTAAGCCACGCAACGTTGAAAATCGACTTTTCTTTATTATAATTGTTTAAATATGTTGTCACGCAGACCACAGTGGTATGGTGCTATTTTCTGGTAGGATCTCTGGACCTTTGTTGACAAAACTACTGGCTTGAACTCACACTCACACTCACACTGCCCAGCCAATCACGAATCACATGAATTGTGAATGTCAATCTCAAACAATCGATCAAATTGTGATTCACGATTGGGGCGGGCGATAAACAGCAAGATGCAAATCCCGATGCGAACAACTTGGCGCCTTACTGCAGCTTTCAAACCACATGTCGATGGTCAAGAAACACTCGCTCGCACCTTGACTGGACTGGACTGGACTGGACTCATCCTCTGTTAGTCAGTAGTGTTCCGATCTTGCTTCCATTGATTCATCCTTCGTCCCTAACTCACGCCTTTCTTTCTCTTCACCCATCCTCGAAATTCGAAGCATCTACACTTGTTTTGCCCCTTACCTGTGTCAGCTCTTCCTCGTAACTTTTTAGGCAAAAGCTACTATCAAAACTCAGCATGAAGATCGCCGTTGTCGGCGCAGGCGTGTCGGGCCTGTCCGCCACATGGGCACTCAACGAGTACTCGTCTCATGAAGTTCACCTTTTCGAACCTCTACCTTGGATCGGTGGTCATACCAATACTGTCACATTCACCCCACCTACCGCACCCTCCCCCATCTCTGCGCTCAAAACATCGGTGGATACAGGCTTCATCGTGTTTAACCGCGTCACTTATCCCAATTTCCTGCGTTTCCTCCAATTGACCGGCGTAGAGATCCTCAATTCTGACATGTCGTTCAGTGTGACGCGATTTATCAAATCGTTTGGTGGTTATGGTGGATTTGAATGGGCGGGTGGAAGTCTCGCAGCTTTGTTTTGTCAGACTAGCAACGTTTTAAACCCTGGTCATTGGAGGATGGTTTGGGATATCGTTCGATTCAATCAACAGAGTGTCGATTACCTACGTCAATGCAAGAATCATCCGGTAGTCGGTGCTGAAATCAGTATCGG